CGCCTCGTCGTGGTTATGATAGTCTGAGTTCCCGAAACGTGTAAGGAGCTCCCGTTCAAAATCTTCCCAACGGATTGGTTGTTGCCGTCCGCGATACACGCGCGTGGGCCACTACCACCACACGTTGGCCTCACCATCTAAATAGTACACGGCATAACGAACCCAGTCACGTTGCGGCATCTCATTTAAGTCGAAGAATTGCACTGCCCTGTTCAGCCAAGCATCTAGATTGGTTCCCGTGAACGTTGAGAGCACGAGCCTCGGCTTCTCGACGCGTGGTCGCTCATGAACGTTCGACGCCTGCGACCGCTGCTCGTACTCTTCCTCCTCGTCGGGGTTATGCTCAGCCCGCTGCTGCTCCTGTTGCCTTAGACGCTCGCGTGCATTCACCCGTGGTGGCTCCTCCTGCTGCTGTCGTTGGAACCCGTGCAACACCTCCTCCAGGCGCTGCTCGAGGCGAGCCACGACAGCGTTGGTGCTGACCTGTCCTTCGTCGAGCGATCCAAACCGATCCTCCATGCTCTCGTTCATGGCCTTGAATTGGCCTTCCAATCCTTCAACCTTTTCTTTCAACTCACGATTGGCCATATCTTTTCTGGCTTGCCTACGTTCTCGACTTTCCGGACTAATTTTGAATTTTTTTTTTTAAACGAACGAAAATTTAAAAAGAAGGATTAAAAGAGAATAGGAAAGGAAAGACACACGATCGACCCTCTCAATGAAAGCACCAATGATGAAGACCGTGTGTCTCGATTGCCGATAAGCCGCTCCCGCGCCTTAAATCGTTCGATAGGTGTTAGGAAGTCGCACACTCGCAGACTTTCTAAAGATTATAGTTGCAAAAGAATTCAAGAAGAAAACTAGAGCAAAGAGTTTGAACAAAGTTCGGTTTTTGTATTAAGAAGAATCAATGATATAATTAACAAGAGGAAAGGACTTTATATAGGCATCAACTAGATATAGTCCTAATATAACTATAACCTTAATAAAGCAATAAAATATTAGGTGTCCTAAACAAACTAGAAAATAAGGAAATAAATATCTTGAATATCTCTTGCTTGCGACTCAGGCCGCCATTGTGCGCGTCCGCGTTGCCTAATTGCCCAAGGACTAGGGCTTCATCTTCCATTCCGGCGCACGCGTCCAGCAGCTCGCCTAATCCTCGCGCGCCTAGGCAAGTTCGTGCGTGCACCCCGTCGCCTGCGCGTTCAGCCCCGCGCTCGGCCTCGATAATATCGAGCGTGTCATCTTCCGCGCGCGCTTGCCCATCCGCGTATCGCGCCTCTCCGGCACGACGACTTAGCCTCCTTCGCGCATGCCACGCGCGACTCGCTGCATTCTTGAGCCTTCTCGCCGTGTCCGCATCAGCGCATTGGCGCGCGAGTGGAGCAGCAGCGCGGGCGGTGGCCTAATCCGAGCAGGAGTAGGAGTAGCGGGTGTAGGCGATCACGCACGGGAGTTAGGCGGCGGGCGTGCAGCGCAAGGTAGCGGGGCGCGTGCTGGGCAGGCGAGCGAGATCCTAGTCCGCGCGGGACTAGACGAGATGGGCAATGAGGCGCGCGCGCGCGAAGCCGCGTGCGACAAGGACTAAGACGCGTGCGACGTGTATGGAAGGCGGCGAGAGTTTGGAAGGCGTGTGACTTGGGCATCAAGATACTTGGTGTGCAAGAGAATTAAGTAGTATTTTAGTAATAGTAGGATTTTATTTCCATGTTGCTTTTATTTATTAGTAGTAGAAGATATTAGGAGATTTTCTAGTGTTAGGATTTCTATTATTGCTAGATTTAGGAGATCTAAATCTATTAGGCTTAGATTTATTTTTGCACCTACAAAAACCCCATGTAATCATCATAAAGAGGAGAAGAGTTGAGTATAGTATTGAATTGGTGAGCCAATTGTGAGGGGAACTTTATTTTCTAACGTGTGATAAACAAGGCCGTTAGTGCGTGTTTACATACAATGTTGGAAAGAAGGCCACTAGAGCATCTTGAAGTCACGGTATCTAGGAGAAGGCCCTGAGTGCGTCTGTTAGATACACCTATCGTGTTAATCGAAGGCCATAACTGCGCGATTATTCACAACCCGTAGAGTAAAAATATGATCCGTCATCACGCTGTTGGGCGCACTGCTGCGCGCTGCTGTGCGCGCTGGGGTGCGCCGCTGGGCGTTGATACGGAAGTGGTCGTGGAAGCCGAAGGTTGGTCGGGAATGGTCGATGGTCGAACGGGCGAAAGGCGCGCATCAGGCCATGATGCGTGAGAGCACGTGGTCGGCACGCGGTCAGCGTTGGGTGCACGCGGGTACGCGGTAGGCAAGCGGGCCGCGGGCATTGGACGGTAGCGGGGCGCGCTGCGCATGTGGGTGAAGGTCACGTGGGCAGAAGCCGAGACCGCGTAGGCATGGGAATGACGAGCGTGCGGCGACACGCGCGCGAGAAGATCGGCAGTGACGGGGCGCGCGCAATGATGCGCGAGTACGGTGCGGACGCGGGCGGCCTAATCTGCGTGGGACTATGCGTAGCGAGGGCGGCGTGCGTGGGGCACAAGCGCGCGCTATTCCGCGCGCTAGGAGGAGTAGGCAACGCGAAGGGCGGCGCGCGTGCAAGGGCGGTTAAGGTTGGGCGTGCGCAAGTGTGAGGCAGCCGAAAGTTTGGAAGGAGAGAATTACTTGGGCATCAAGATACTTGGTGTGCAAGACAAGCATTAGTAGTCTTAGTAATATTAGGATTTTATTACCATGTTGCTTTCATTAATTATTTAGGAGATCTAATTAGCTTAGGCTTAGATTTATTTTATGCACCTATAAATAGGGGTATCCCCTCATTGTTTTAAGAATGATTGGAATTGATGAGTTAATAGAAAAGAACGTTTGTTCGAAACCGTGTGTTAGGATTCGTGAGAGTTCAATCATGCAATCGAATTGGTGAAGCTAAGACCCGAGCCAGTTCAAAATCGAGGGAGCAAGGCTAACTACCAAGTGAACTCAAGTACCGTGAGAGAGTTAGGCTAATAACCGAGTCGATCACACCTATCAGTCGAGGGCGAGCTGTGGCGGGCTTGGTTCAAGGAGAGTCGAGTGGAACGCAAACACACGATCCTTCATCATTGGTGCTTTCGTTGAGAGTGATTGATTGTGTGTTTCGTTAAACATTTCCTATCCCATTCTTTTTCTTTTTGTCCGATTTTTTTCCCCCCTTGTCGATTTTTTTTTCAAATTTTCGAAAAATTTTCGATAGTATAAAAAAAAAAGAGTCATGACGAAGTATGAAAGGTTCGATATGCTTGAGGAAAGCGTGAGGTCCCTTGGCAACGGACAACATGTGGTCAATGAAAATATGGCGATGTTGGAGCTTATGATACACGACTTGGTGAAAAAGCTCGAGAGAGTCAACCACTATACGCGGAGAAGCGGCACATCAAGATCAATCATGGCGGGAACTGGTAGTTCGACGTCTAGTCGCGATGACGACGACGAATGGTCGCAGGCGACGCACGCGATGCGCACAACCCGACACCACGGCGATCGAAGGATGCACGGCCATCGGCATCATCTTGAGGAGCATGCACGTGCGAGACCGAAGATTACGATGCCGACGTTCGAAGGAACAGATCCAGATGCATGGTTAAGTCGTGCCATGCAATTTTTTGAGATCAATGAGGTACATAAGTCCGAGAGATTTCAGATTGTTGCCTACTACTTGGATGGTGAAGCCAACACATGGTGGTAATGGGTGTCACATGTTTACAAGAACAAAGGCAAGCAAATCAGATGGAGGGACTATGAGAAGGAGCTGATTACCAGGTTTTGATCTAGTGATTATTTCGATTATGATGAGGCTTTGACAAGGATCTGCCAAACCGGTAGTCTACGCGACTATCAAAAGGAGTTTGATAGAATTGCCAGTCGGGTACGCGATTGGCCCGAGAGTGCACTTGTTGGTGCGTTTGTTGGAGGTCTAAAGGCTGAACTAGCTGCGGAGGTACGGCTGGATAGGACAAGATCGACAAGGGCTGCCATGGAAGCTGCGCGACTGCACGAGGACCATCTTGGGGCAGTGCGCAAGGCGAGGCCGAGCGAGGGGCGCACGGACGTTCGGCGCAGGAGCGTTGCAGTCGATGATACGCCCCCATGAGCCGAGGTCAAACCGGCATCTGGTGAGGGTACGCGGACCACGAGCAGCGTACGGAGGCTTACGGACGATGAGATACAGCGGCGAAGGGAAAAGGGCTTGTGTTATACGTGCAATGAGAAATTTACGCCAGGACACAAGTGCAAAGGTAAGGAAGTCTTTCTGTTGGAAATTGGAGAGGAGTATGAGGAAGAGAAGCCACGTGAGGAGTCCTTGTTACATGTGGCTAAGTACAAAAAGCGTGGTCCCAAGATGATCAGGTTCACGGCTGAAATAAAAGATCTGCTGCTAGAGGTACTGGTTGATAGTGGGTCAAGTCTGAATTTTATCGACGAAGGAATAGCCAGGAGACTGAAGTTGGAACCCACAAAGGTCAAGAGGTTTGGGGTCAAAATAGCCAATGGACATGAACTACAAGGTAATCAATTGTTCAAGAAGGTTCCAATTATGGCACAGGATCAAGAGCTAGAGATTGACCTCTACGCCTTACCGCTCAAGGCAACTGATATTGTGTTGGGAGTACAGTGGCTCGAAACACTTGGGCCCATTACAACCGACTATAGGCGAGGAAAGATGGAATTTGGACGACCAGGAAAACGCATCAAGTTAAGGACTGAAGATCAAGGTGATTCCCCCATTGAAGAAGACGATAGCGATGTGAATGTGCTGAACTGACTTATCCTTGAGGACAAGAGTCTTGAAGAGGAGGGGAATGATACGGAAGTGGTCATGGAAGCCGAAGGTTGGTCGGGAATGGTAGATGGTCGAACGGCGAAAGGCGCGCATCGAACGATGATGCGCGAGAGCAAGTGGTCGGCACGCGGTCAGCGTTGGGTGCACGCGGGTGCGCGGTAGGCAAGCGGGCTGCGGTCGTTGGACGGTACGGGCGGGCAACGAGCGACGAGCGAGCGGGACGCACTGAGCATGCGGGTGAAGGTCACGTGGGCAAAAGCCGAGACCACGTAGGTGTGGGAATGACGAGCGCGCGGCGATATGCGCGCGAGAAGATCGGCAGCGACGGGGCGCGCGCAATAAAGCGCGACTACGGTGCAGACGCGGGCGGTCTAATCCGCGCGGGACTAGGCGTAGCGAGGGCGGCGTGCGTGGGGCTCAAGCGCGTGCGATTCCACGCGCTACGAGGTGTAGGCAACGCGAATGGCGGCGCGCGCACAAGGGCGGTTAAGGTTGGGCGTGCGCAAGTGTGAGGCGACCGAAAGTTTGGAATGAGAGAATTACTTAGGCATCAAGATACTTCGTGTGCAAGACAAGCATTAGTAGTCTTAGTAGTATTAGGATTTTATTACCATGTTGCTTTCATTAATTATTTAGGAGATCTAATTAGCTTAGGCTTAGATTTATTTTATGCACCTATAAATAGGGGTATCCCCTCATTGTTTTAAGAAAGATTGGAATTGATGAGTTAATAGAAAAGAATGTTTGTTTGAAACCGTGTGTTAGGATTCGTGAGAGTTCGATCATGCAATCGAATTGGTGAA